GAACTGGCAGCCGAGATAGGTCGATCTTCCACTCAGCCATCGAAATACATATTCAGTTGACGAGTGATTGAAAGAAATTCTCGAAAAGAGGCCTTCTAAAGACCATTTTTTTTCGATTTTTTAAAGTTTTCGGCCTTCTGTGCTCGACTGTTCACTCTTTTTTTGTTGTTATGTTTTATGGAATATCCTTAATGTCAACGTTATCTTATTGAGCTATGCTTAGAAAGAGAATTTTTAAACGAATATGACAGAGTTAAAATTTAACTTGACTCTAGACACGAACTTACATGTCTGATGCGAGCGTTCTCTTTACTTGACTTCCGTTTCTTTTGAAACAAGCCATCTGTTTTCGAATTGCAGGTCTATTGGAAGATCTTCTGGCACCAACGTATGATTTCCTCGCGTCTATTAAGGATGTGTAAGGGACATTAACCTCGCAAACTCTGTGAACCTAAGAAGCTAGTGGTGAGGTGATTTTACCAACTCACCTACCAGGCAACTGCCACATAGGGGATCAGGTGATACTGCGTGAGTACCGATTGGACAGTGATCAGTTAAAAGCTCCACCAAAAGCGAGAACTTCTATTTGGTCGGCCCTCGGCAAGAAATACTGATCGCACATGACCTGGTGCTCGCTGAGCTGACATCTATCTAAGAGTGTACCACATGTGATCTATGGCGCCCCCAGCTACTCTTTATCCGGCGATAACGTTTTAAGAGTACCTTTATTAGCAAATCCGCCAGCCACACAGCCCCGCATTGTTGCCGTAACTGGGAACACAAATGGCCTAACACAGAAGTATTCACCACGCAACTGAGAGAGGCGCGACAGCAGATTACATTCAGTATTACCTTTAGTTCCAATGTGGGGGTGGTCCGCAGTGCCTCTCTAATACCAATAAAACCAGCAGATTATGCGTGCTCCGGCTGCTTAGCTAGTGTAACCTTTTCAAGAGAGCTCCACTAGACTAGGGCGCCATAAAACATAATAGGCTTGACTACCGTCTCGTATACCCAGCAGATAACTTTTCAGCGAAATGTCCTATTTCTTTCCAATAGCTCTCGACGTTTAGCCTCCACGACAACTTCCTATCAATATCAAGCCCAAGTGCTCGACCTTGCCGGATAGCTGCAAGCGCCCTAGCAGGGAGAAGAACAGCGTCAGGGATTGTATACTTTCTAGTGAATAAGACCAGCGCTGTCTTGCTGGGATTGACGGCGAGGCTTCTTTTGGCCGCCCAGTTATAAACCATTTTAACGTGCCATTGGGTCAGTTCATAGATGAGTACCCCTTATTTACCTTTAACTATAAGTTCAATACCGTCTGGGTAATCAATCACCCGACAGCGGTGTTTCTCCAGCTGCTCTAGTAGGTGGCTCACTACCACGACCAAGGTGAGAGGACACCTCCCTGCGGAGTGCCTTATTCACCATTCATTGCTGGCAAGCGCTGCCTCATATGGCTATGACTGTTCAGTCACGTAGCTAAATGAGACTGACTTCAACTCCAAGCTTATCCAACGACTTAACTTTACCTCCGGCAGCACATTGTTAAAAGCCCCCTCGTTATCGAGGAAGACATCTGCCACAAAATCTTTATGAGCTCCTGATAGGCGATCTTGAGGAATCCCGTTCCTTATGTGCAGGTCAACCAGCTACTCCAACGTTTTCAGTAGCAGCGATGTGAGACTGATTGGCCTAAAGTTTGGCTAAACTAAGACTGCACTACTTTAGCTCCTCAACACACGAATCCCTTTTTTATCGATAAACTCGTTTCACAAGACTGTATCTTGGAGGCTGATTGCGTCTTATCAAAGGGATGGATGCCAAAGGTATTCTAGGTTGCAGTATCCCTAATTAATTAAATAATGCTAAACCTGATTTTCCGGTTTTTCAAGTAAAGAAATTGCATACTAAGATCGATAAGGCAACAAGACTACTAAAAACTGAATCTAAACAAATTAGCATCATTCATAATGGAATACGAAAGAGGTGGGCGTGGTTATAGTTATAATNATTATCTTGTACGGATTTATTGCACTTTGGATTAAAATATAGTATACCTGATAACAAAGTGAATGTCAGTGCAAACAGCATATCCGAGATATCTCCTTGTTTACAAATTGCGCTTATATCCACCTGAGTCAAGAAAATGGAAATGGAATAAATTAAAATTTCAAAGAAACATAATTTAATTTATGTAAAATAACAACCGTCCTTTACCTGAAACTTGACATGCCTTTGAAACATGACAGGTCCATTACCATTACGTTTATATTCTACACGGAACGATGTTGGTGAAACGACGCTATGCGAAAGTTCAGCCATCTAAAAGTGAATGTTGAAAATAGAGTGGATTTTAAACCAAAAATACACAAAAAATATGCAGGCTAATAGAAGCTAATAATACTACTCACCGACAAAAAAGCGTGTATCAGATGCGCTTTAACAGTCGCTATTGGCTTGCCTTTCACCA